ATTTAGAAGAGAACGCTTTTCTAAATTTTCAGATAAAGCTAGGCTTAGAGACTTTACATGGGAAAATTTAAATTGACCAAATTTTGAAATTTTGGAAATTTAAATTTTCTGGAAAGAACAGAGTATCTCAATAATTGCGATTATGAAGCTTGCACTGTGAATAATTTAACAAAGAGCGCCAAAATTTTCCCGAATCTTCAGAAGAATCTAAGAAACTTGATAATTTCATCTGGAAAAATTTCACCCTTGCAAGCTTCGCGAATCAGATACAACCGTCAGAGTCCCAGTAAGTAAGTTGTTAAGGTAGCGAACCAAGAAGAGTCGCACTCGAGTGCTCTTTTCGCGTGTTTCAAACTTATCTGCCGATTGCAGCTGCAATACCAGTGATCTAGTCGCTGTCGGCTAATTGAATTTTCTCCTCGAGATCGTCGTGAACGAAGCCAGACCGCCAAGGGAAATGCGTCTCACAGGAGGCTCGTTGTTCGCGACAAAAGGCACGCGTGTGTTTTACGAACGAATCGTGATATCACGCGTGGCTGAGACTCCACGACTTTCACGTTGTGGCGCGTTTACTTGTCGTTCCTCTACACGAGGGGATGAGATCTCTCTATAAAACGCCTGTGATCCTGCCGACGTACGAATTAAAATTGTTTTTCTCTCGTCGTCGTCGGGTCTTCGACCTCCGTGAAGAAAGAAACACGGGTAATATAGGAAGAGAATGCTGCCAATTAATAGGAATTTTTTTAATCGACTTAAAAAATCACACACCTGTTACTTAACGAAGGCACGGCTAGAGAAGTATAAACTGAAAGAAAAAGATCGATTAAAAATTCAAGGCTAAAATACCAATGGAAATCCCTTGATCACAGGCCAAGATTCGGTGTGTGAAAGGTATCACTTTCGAGCATCTCGTTCGATGCATTGTTTGAGCTTCGAATTATCCGACCAACCCTGTAGATCATCCCTCTATGAAATTTCATCGAAGGTGGTAATAACACGTTTTCACATTTCACCACCGTTCAGTTTATCTCGATCCTTATCGTTTCGTTCTGTGCGATGCGTTTTCACCTGTACAAAGGTGAGACACGAGAAATTCGTCTGGTATACGAGAGAGAGAGAAGGTATTATGAGTTACGTCGCGGGAGAAATCAGTAAAAAGATTATCACCGGTAAGAAGGAAATTGGCCTGGTTGCTTCCGGAATGAAAGCAAACGCATAACTTTCGTTCATCTTCTGCTCGACGGATCACGTTGGATCCAATCTAGATCGTATCTGGAACGCAGGAAAATGAAAACATTTTTCTTTTTTCAATTTCGATCTTACCGATCCGAGAAACAATTACGCTGTTAATTTTTCTCGGCTTCGAAAGTTTTCATCCGACAACGAAAAGGTTTGCCTAGAGTGTTTCTTTTTCTTTTTTACTCCCACACACGTGAA